TGTGTGTGTGTGTGTGTGTGTGTGTGTGTGTGTGTGTGTGTGTGTGTGTGTGTGTGTGTTTGTTTGTTTGTCTGATATTGAACCAGTGGAAAAATTTTGATGAATCTCAGAGAAAGCAATCTCTTGCTGTATGTTTACAGCTGAAGTCAGCACAGTTAAGGTAATCAATACAAAAAGGACAGACACGTTTACAGTTATTGAGCTAAAGTTTGGTGTATTATTAACAGAGGGTCATCCATAACACATGCTCCAAGAACTGATGCACCTTGCAGGATCTCAAATTATTTCAGAAAATCAACTTTAACAGAAAACAGTTGTAACTCTTAACTCTGGTGTGAAATATGACTGTGACATGTATTCCTTCAAGGATCAATTTCTGGTATGATCAAGAAAACTGGTAACGTTTGTGCTGTGTTTTAATTGTTAATGATACCATTGTTTGCCATGTGGAACTGAGACTTTCACACGAAGGCACTTTTGTTAATTCAACAATTAATCCTGTTCCTGCGTGCGACAAACATGTTTCTGTTAACAAGTTTGAAGTGAATAAATAACAAGACCGTTGTCACATATACGTATGAAAGAATACAGCATGTGCTCTGCGTTCCTGTTTACTTTGATGGGTCTAAAATCAACTAATGTATGACATGTTATTATGGACACAAACACTACAAAGAGAAGGCAGACAACTTCAACTGCAACATCTTCCTYTCAGTTTTAACAGGTGATTGTGTTCACATGTTACCAGACACTGTAAGGACATGCTATGTTGGAAAAACAATTGAAAAGTCGACTTCATATTTCCTATTATAACAGCAAATTTCAGAGAATTTCTTCAATCCCTAAAATATGTGTCAAATTTTAAAGTGGACATATCCCACTTATAAATCATTTTTAATATATTAAACCATTCAGTCGGTCTATATAAAGTGGTCTGCTTTGGTCTGAATTCCTCCTTATTGTAACTCCACAATCCCCTATTTCACCCCTTTTCTGAGATGTTTCAGATCCATTCATTTTGAGGCTGTCTCTTTAAATCCAAACAAGGTGCTTCACATCAAGCCCCTCTCCAGCTTCCAGAGTGGTCCAGTTTGATAGAGAGGTTTACAATACAGCGGTGCAGAGACTTATTTACAAATTAATTAAAAAATGTCAACAAGGGAAGATTTGTCCATCCAGAGCCGGAGGAGAATGAAGATGACAAATTTGTATTTGTCCAGACTTATTTGGAAGTTCCATCGCAAATAATGTGACGTATTAGTTTAGAAAATGTTATAGAAAATAGAGAAAACTGAACTGGTTG